GACCCGCCGGCCGTCCTGCAGACCCGGTCAGCGCGCCGGCGGGACTGGGGCCCTCCGCACCTCGCATCGCTGCGGGCGCGTCAGGGAGAGCTTCAGCGAGGTTCAGGGTCCCGGCCAGGCGAGGGCAGGTCTCCGCAGGCAGGGTCTGCCCAGGGCTGTGCTCAGGAGCGGGAGGGCAAAACCTACGGAGGGAAGGTCAGATGTAAATGGGTCAGTGGGGGCAGAGAAGCTGTTGAACAAAGAAAAACATTGCAGCAACTCATCTCCTCAAGTACCCTTCTACCCTGGCAGAGCAGAGACGGGTTCATGCCTGGCAGATAGTCGCTGAGCTTTATTTCTCGCCCAGCAGAGTCATAAACCTAAGTGTAAATGTGTTAAAAATGTAAGAATGAATTTACTGGTGTATGAAAATCGTAGATTTCCAATTGCTATAAAAGGTCCATCATTGAGGGGGGTCCAAAATAGAGGCACCACTGGAAAAGTTGTCCCTTTCCAGATACTTTGCAATGCAACACTGCTGTAACCCCCAGAGGTGCAGCTGTGATGCCATCTTTAAACGAATGTTCAGATTTTAATCTTGGGATAACTATTATTATAATTAAGTTGAATAACATTATTTTTATTTGATTACAGCCTGGTCTTTTTCTTTGGATTTTCCAGAGTGTAGTGGAAAGTCTGAAGAAATACCATCTAGCTGTTTAGTGAGCTGGAGGTGCAGAAAATACTCCGCAAGGTTTTTGTTAAAGTTCGCGCTTAAAGAGAAACACTTTGGTCAAGTTTCTTCTGATCTACAAAGGACTCTCTGGTGACTGCTTGGTTTTGCTCCCCAAATTTCCTGGGCACCTTGGGCTCTGGCACGAATCTCGGGGACAAGAAGGAGTCCGGCTGCAAGGTTCATGTCAGACAGGCAACACCATGCTGTCCTCGCAGGCTTGGGGTGACTTGCAGCTGTTTCACTTCACTGCAGCTGGTTCAACATCGCGTGTTTCATGCTGAGAGTGGGATGCTCTGTTTGACTCTCATCTTGTCCCTTCCTTCCCCAGCTGCCCAGCGCACTCCCCTCCTGCTCCTTGCCTGTGTGTTGGCCCTGCCTGCCCCACATCTCACCAGGAGCATCCAAAGCCTGTCCCGCTTCAGTCACTCTGTCTTGAATAACACCCTGTCTGCTCGGAACACGTTAGTGAACGGTAGGTGCATGGAAGGTCTCCATGTCTGCCAGCAGGACATGGCTAGGACCACCCCAGAGCAGGGAGGGCATCTTCCAATCCCCCGAGCTGCCAGCATCCCTCAAGAGGGACAGATGCCCCAGCATGAGTCACCTGCCCTTCCTCAAACATCTGGTGGGTGCGGACATGGGACCTTGCAGTCATGGGCCTTTCTGCTCATGTACAGGTGTGGAGAAGCCCAGAGGGTTTGCGCTGATCCTCTCCCAGAGCCAAGGCTGTCCCTCCTCGCACGTCTCTTGCCCCACAGGAAGGGTAGGGCAGGGTAAGAAGGGGATGGTAGGGACAGTCAGTGGGAAGGATGCAGAAGAAAGGAAGGGTTCTCGTGCCACCAGCATCCCCAGCTATTTTGCTTGTCCCATGGTGAAGAACTGGAGAAGTGAAATACCTTTGTCTCAGAGTGCTTCACCAGACTGCACCATTCCCTGTCTCACCCTCAGCCTTGCTCCTGGGGTACTCACAGTCCCAGGAGGGTGAAAGCTCCTGCAGTGGTCGGAGAGGATGGCTGATGCCCACTTGGCTGAGGGAACACATGGCAAACCCATGCCCAGTCTCTGGGGCCACAACACACCAAAAATAGTTGGAAGTGGAGACTTCAGAAGACAAAGGCTCCTTCCCCAGCCAGGAGCATGATCAGAGATGTAAAGGCCCTACATCTTACTGCCTGGACTCCACTTCTTCAGAAAGTACTTCCTGATGTGGGCTCCAGCTTTCTTTGGTGTCATCCCCGTGCCATTTCCAAATCTCCTCTCTACTGTTGTTTTCCATGTTCCAGGTCAGCTCCGGCTGGTGAATGGCTCCAACCAGTGCTCTGGACGGGTGGAGGTTTGGTACCGCAATGAGTGGGGAACGGTGTGTGATGACAACTGGGACATAAGAGATGCCGCTGTGGTGTGTAGGCAGCTCGGCTGTGGAGAGGCAGTATCAGCTCAAAGTAATGCTTATTTTGGGAGTGGATCTGGGACTATCTGGCTGGACGACGTTGACTGCAATGGGGAGGAGCAGCTCCTCACTGAGTGCTCGCTGCGGGCTTGGGGAGAGCACAACTGCAGGCACAGCGAGGATGCAGGCGTTGTGTGCTCAGGTGAGGATGGTGTTCACACTCATCTGTGCTCCTCAGGCAATCCAGGTCTCATTAATGTCTTGGTCTTGCAGAACCAGCCACAGGAGGACTATGGGATGCGCCTCTGTCTTGTTGCATGGGATCTTACTAAATCACCCTCTCTCCTGCCCCAGGCTGGCCCAAGGACTGCAGCGAGGTCCCTGCTGGCAGCCCCAGCGGCGTCTACGTCATCCAGCCCACAGGACTGCACCCCATCGTGGTGTACTGCGAAATGAATGTGGCGGACGGGGGCTGGACGGTCATCCAGAGGAACCGGCAGAGCACGGAGATCACCTGGGCCGAGTCCTGGAGCACCTACAAGTACGGCTTTGGGAACGTGCACACCGAGTACTGGCTGGGCACTGAGTACATCCACCAGATCTCCAACCAGAAGGTCTACCAGGTCAGGTTTGTCATCTGGGATGCCGCAAACAACACCAAGTTTGCAGACTACAATCTCTTCAGCCTGGAAGATGAGTCCCAGGGCTACCGGCTGAGGCTGGGAACGCACTCGGGGACTGCGGAAGAAGCCATGGCC